GTATTTTTTCGTGTTAGTACGGTCCCTTCCCTGCACCAGCAAATTTCGGTGTGTCACATAGCTGAAATCGACATACCACAGGCAATCTCACTACAGCACGAAATATTGCAAAAACACATGATTGAACCGGCCCGCCTGGTGCGCCGCTAGTGATTTCAAAATGATCCCGAAACATAATTTGAGTTTAACAATTCTTTTGTTGTTCCACAATCGTCGCTCGTGTTTCAACTGCTGACTTTGTTGTTGGCAAAAATCAGTATGTTTTCCATCAATTAATTGAATCTCTGTTCAAATTCTTGTATGGATTTATCACGCTAAGCAAGAAAATTGATGGAAAGTAAAGGTTGGCAAGAACAAGCTTACCACTTTAAACTCAGTACTAAGTGTCATGTCGAACATATCCATAGGCGCCTACTTCCCCGTTAACAATCCCATTTCCAGTTCTTATCCCTAGTCAATGCCTCAGCTCTATTTCAGTCATTATTCTGCCCTTCTCGACTTCTATACCAACCTCCCCCGCTTCCCTCACCCACCCCCACTCACGACCTGCCATTCACACCGAAGTTGAGGGTTCCGACCAATTCGGTCTATATCCCCCGGGGCGTATTATGCAAGTCGTAGATCGAGCCGAGGGCGAGTTCTAGTAGTCGGGGGCCGATTTTTAGCAGACACCTTTACGACCACAGGAACACGACGCGGAAACGCAACCTACACCCCCCAACCGATTAAGCCGGTCTCAGCGACAACTTTCAGAGCTTGGGTCGATTTGTCCGTGCGGCATGCATTCATCTTTGGCTTCGGGCTCGAGTTACGGAGGTCGTGGCACCAGTTTTTTTTTGCCCAGGCAGAGTCCCGGATGCAGTATTCAAGGCTGCTAGCTTCCTCCTAGCATGGAAGACCTGTAGAGCCACCCCCTCCTCCACCCCCTACCCCCTCCCACCCATAAACCATGCCCCTGTCTCCACTTCCTGCATTCAAGCGAGATCTCGGCTATTTTGCATTTAATAACCCCAGCCCCTTCAGCCCGGCCCGTGCCAAGTTTCTGTAATTGCTGGGTTGGACGGGGTTTTAACAATTACTTCGGTATGCTTAGTGCTATTGTCATTTTCTGTTGTGGTTCTCCACCAGTTGGGTAGTTAGTGGCCGGGCTGGGTAGTAAAAAGCGATATGTAGTAGCTGTGCGTCAAGTCTGGGCGTAGTACGTGTCACTTCTGTTTCTTAATGAATGCGTTGTTTGCTTGATGAGAAGCCGCGTGGTCACGTGAGGAAATTTCTTCAGCACTGCGCGATTCATTCCAGATGTACAGTCTGAGCGAAATTGGCTCGCGCAGAAAAATTGAATTTCTGTTGCAGCTGAGAATGAAGGCCGGTACCGCGGCTGCCCGTAGCACCCGTTCTGGGCTGAGGCATTCGTGCATGGTTCGGTTTACCAGGCATGTTTAAGGCAAGACCAGGGTTTGCAGCTGGCAGGCAGGCGACATCTCACTCTTGAACACTAAACAGACGCACAAAAATAACAGGCTAGAAATTCAGTTACACAGCGCACTGCATCGTCGTGCGCTCTGCTCTACTGTGTAAGCACGGTGGCTGAGTGCATGCCCGGTACGGCAGGGTCGATGTACTCTTTTTCCCTACCTCATTTCAGCTGCTTAATTTCTCCTCAACATCTGACACCTTTTTCGGTAACCTGCAGAATGCTCCCAAAGAACATCTGAACGAGAAGGGAAAAGAAATGAAACGAGAGCCACGAATCCACTCAGACAGCGCGCCGCCTCTGGCTGATGCAGCAACGACGAGAGACAGCGTGGTCAAAGTTAGTGATCTGGTTCTTTGTCTCTCATTCTATTGCCGATCAAAAGCATGAAAAGGTGGTTTATAGAGATACCTTCACATCATCGAAATCGCAACGAGTCAACTGTGTCAGTGTTCAGGAACCATGAAAATCTACAAGCAGTAGCTGCCAGGCAGCGGGCAGTAACCCAGCGCTCATGCATTTTTACGATTTTTTGCATACATGCAAATTGCAAAAACGCATATTAGAAAGAGTTTGTCTCTGTGTGTGTGTTCGGACCTTTTGTTAGCCACTTCCAACTCGAGAACCAGAATAGCTAGAAGGCTGAGACTTTGGGAGTATGTGCCCTTACCATGCGCTATCCTCCCGTTTTAATTTCATCCCCCGCGGACGCCTGGGTGCCACGTACGAACGGTTTAAAAAAATGCAAATTTCTTGGCGGGAAGGCGATCTCAGGAGCCACACGAACTAAGGGGTTGAAACTTTGTAGGGATATTCCCTGCACATGTACTAGCTAAAGATTTCAAATTCAGCACGCAGGTATGCGTGGTACTCACGTAAGGGCGTGTCAAATTTCTATGGGAGAAATTGCTAACTCGGGTACCAGGAAAGCTAGAAAGCTGAAATTGTGGGAGAATATTCCCATACAAGTATAACTCAAGAATTTTAAATTCAGCCGCAAGCTATGCGTGGTACTCGCGTAAGAGCAAATGAAAGTTTCTGCAGAAATATTACTAACTCGGCAACCAGAAGAGTTGGAAGGCTAAAAATTTTAGGGGGATATTCTTTGTCCACGTGCAGTACAAAAATTTTAAATTCAGCTTTTCAGGCACGTGAAGTACCCACGTATGGGCATGTGAAGGTTTTGGCTAGAAAATTGGTACCCGGTAACCAGAAAAGCTGGGAAGCCGAAATTTTGTGAAAATTTCCCCTGTCAAAGTACAACTTAAGTTTTTCAAATTCAGCCTTGAGGTATGCGTGGTTTTTACGTACGAGCACTTAGAAGCCTTGGCGGAAGAATTTCTCACTGAACAAATAGATTACTTCTAAAGAACAACTGTTAAATGGAAGTAGTACATTTACTTTGCAATATTTATGGAGTTTATGCTAGTGACCGCAAAAGGTAGGTGGAAAGCAGCGACCATTCATGCAGTTAATGACCTGAGTACTTAAAGTCCGGTGCAAAAACGCATGATCGCACGGGCCCGGCCGGTGCGTTCCAGCCTGCGTTGCATATTTGATGCAGTGCAAAAAACGAGGGTTATCGGTTCATGCATATATGTGTATGTTAGGATTTAATCGCCCATTTTCAGTTCAGCAGACAGAGAACTTGGAAGCTGAAATTTAAGGAGAACTTTCTTAGTCCACGTGCGTCCTCGCAGATTTAAAATCATCATTCACTTAGGGACGTCTGGAACAGAACGAGAGAGCGCTTTTGGGTATTAGGAGAAAGCTAAAATTCCACAGGGATGTTCTTTATGCATGTGTGAGCTGAAGGCTTCAAATTCATTTATCGCATATGCTTGCATCACACGTGCTGACATGTGAAATTTAAAGCCGAAACACCGTTGGCAAAGTGTCAGTTCGGGAATTAGGCTGACAGTATTACCCATGCGCAGGCATGTAGGCATGAAATGAGCTTTGGCATAGGCTTTCGTCACATCTATGGGAATGCCAAATATATTTGCAGCGAAGAAGCATTTGACGGAACCAAGCAGTTTTACCACGTGTGACCCAGAGATTTTGAATTCAGCTTTGCAGTGTGTGTAGGTCACGCCCTAGGGGCAAATAAAAACTCAATTTTGAAAAAATCTGGCACCCACTTCTGTGACCAAACAGGAAACCGACATTTTATGAGTAAGTTAACTGTCCATGTGTATGTTTGTAAGCGTAAAATGAGTTTTTCCTCTCTGCGTACGTGCCCAGCGCTCGAACGCGTTAAATGTTCAGACTGCAACACTTTTGTTGTCAGTCTCTCAAAACAGTTAAACAGACGAGAAAGCACAATGTTTGCAAGTCCTGTGTGCATCAGAAGCGCAATATCTTCTTTTACAAATGCTTACTTTCGCATGCATAAAAGCAAACTTGAAGTGCAGAATCGTTGGGAGTCAACAACTACTGAAACTTAGCTCAGCACGGGCGTATATTCTTTTTTGGAAAAATGCGCTGTTTTGTGGATTTGGAGGAGAAATGCGGGCATCATAGTCGTACGCAGGATTCCAGTCATCGTTTTGGTGAGGTTTTTGAGAAGGGAGGGAGAAAGGGGGAGGAAACAGAGGCGCAGCTGTTTCAAACACTAAAAAAATAATGTTGGCATGCTCGCACACGAAGATATCGGCTTGAGGAAATCAAAAACAAAAAGAACACGAGCGCATCCTTTTTTCCCTTACTTTTAAAATAATTCCGAATCATGTCGTGGGTTCAGCAGTTCTTTCGATGTTGTACGATCGTCATTCGTGCTTCAGTTGTTGAGATCTGGCTTTGTTATCAGCAATATAGTTATGTTTTCTATCAATAAATACATCAGATGGTGCTTAACATGAAACTTGATGCTGAATGAAATCGGCTAGCACTTAACAGCTTCTGCACAGCACCCAGTTGTGCGTTTTTGCTTATATGCAAATGCAGAAACGCATATTGTGACGATCCCGGTGTGTGTGTGTGTGTGTGTGTGTCCGGATATTTCAACTCGGCACATAAGCAAGCTCCGGCGTCAAAATTTTGCCGGTGGCTTCCTCGACCAAGTGCCACCCCATTGCCGCGGTACCAACCCTCACGCAAGTCTGGGCATCGCGTACAAAAGGGTGGAAGTTTTGGCGAGAAAATCGCTAACTCGGGAACCAGAAAAGCTACAAAGCTGAAATTTCGAGGTTATGTCCCCGTAAATGTAGAACTCAAAGATTTCAAATTCACCCCCCAGTTGTGCATGGTTCGCACGTACGGCCTCGTGGGGATTCCTGGCGCAAAAACCGCTAAATTAGGAACAGGAGAGCTGAAGAGCTGAAATTTTCAGGAAATGTTCCCAGCACAAGTGTAACTTCAAATTATCAAACTCAGCCTCTCAGTGTTTATGGTGCTCACGCACGGCCCCGTAAGAATTTTTGGCGGGGAAACGGCTAACTCGGGAACCAGGAAAATTGGGGAGCTGAAATTTTCATAGAATGTTCCGAACACAAGTACAACTTATAATTATTAAATTCAGCTCCCGAGCCTGCGTGGTTCTCAAATACGGCCCCATCAAATTTTTTGGCATGAAAATGGCCGACTCGGGAATTAGGAAAGCTAGAAAACTGAAATTTTCAGAGAATGTTCCAAGCAAAATTACAACTTACACTTATCGAACTCAGCCCTTCAGTGTGTCTGGTACTCACGTACGGCCTCGTGAAAATTTTTGCGGGAAAATTGTTTACTCAAGAACCAGAAAATTTGGGAAGCTGAAATTTCAAGGAAATGCTCCTTGTCCAAATACCGCGTAGACAACTAACTTCCCGGACTTCGAGGGCCAGTATATCACACATTTCTAGCTACTGGGCTTCCGAACAACCTCATTACAGCACGAAATATTGCAAAAACGCATTATCGCACGGGCCAGCCCGGCGCGCACCGCCAATGATTGTTATGCGTTTCTGCATGTATGAAAATGCAGAAACGCAAACTGTGACCACCCCGGTGTGTGTTCACCTGTCCGGGTATTTCAGCTCGGCTGCTAAGCAAGTACCGACGTCAAAATTTTGTCAGTGGGTTTCCCGGCTAAGCACCATCCCAGCACCACGTACTAACCTTCGCGCACGTCTGCACTCCACGTACGAGCGCGTGAAAGTTTTGGCGAGAAAGTCGCTAACTCGGAAACCAGGAAAGCTGGAGGCTGAAATCTTGACGGGATATTCCCAACTCATGTGCAAATTAAAGAGTTTAAATTCCACCTGAGGTATGCGTGGTTCCCATGTACTGCCTCGCGAAAGTTTTTGGCAGGAAATTTCGCTGACTCTGGGACCAAAAAAGCTCGAAAGCTGGAATGTTGAGGTTATGTTCCTCGTCGTTCCTCGTCCACACAGAACTCAAAGATTTCAAATTCAGCCTCCAGGTATGCGTGGTTTTCGAGTACGGCCCTGTGAAAATTTTTGGCGAGGAAATTCTCTAATTCGGGAACCAGAAAGGTTGGGGGGCTGAAATTCTGAGGGGATGTTCCCAGCTCACCTGTAACTTAGACTTTTCAAATTCAGTCGCCCGGTGTGCGTGGTTCCCACGTACGACCCCGCGAAAACTTTTGGCGGGAAAATCGCTAGCTCAGAAACCGGGGGAGATGGGAGGCTGAAATTTCGACGGGATGTTCCCGAGCTATGTACAACTTAAAAACTTCAAGTTAGAGCCCAGCGGGACGTACTTCTAACTTACGGCCCCGTGAAAGTTTTTGGCAGGAAAATTATTAAATCGGGGTCGTAAAAGCTAGAAAGCTGATACTTTGAGTTGATATTCCCTGACCAGGTACCGCGTAGTTGCGCAGTCAACTTTCTGAACTTTGAGGAAAAAAAAGTTGTTTTGGGCAACGAAACAGTAGGTCTCGCACAGGTGATTTTAGAAAGTCCGCAAATGTTCTACGCCAGTGCTGTGGGTGTGCTAACCCAAGTCCAGCAGTAGCTATAGGTGCCGTCATGCGCATTATGGCCTCGCTACCATTAGTCGTATCAAACCCGGACTTTGCTGCTAATGCTTATGCTCCAGGCTGTGGTACTGTTGAAACGCAGCAGGCTTTGAAAACTGAGCTAAATTATTCAAAAAGTTTTGTGATGAATTGCCCCCAAAAATACTGTACGTAAGCTTTTTTATTTCTTAGCGCTTTCATGGGTCGCAGTTCATAAAGTCTTCCTTCAGTTATACGGCAGGCAGTTTCCCTAATTGTTCTGACCAATATTACACCGCTTGATGGTCAGCTTACTGATGGTTCTGGCATTCTTTTCGTTTGGTAAAGGGATGAACATCAACGATCTTCCTGTCAAAAGCACACTGTCATGGCTATAGCTGCATAAAAAAGTTCCATGGGCAAAGCGTTTATCCCGACGCTCTTGATATTATCAGAAAATATATTTACATTACATGTAATATACAAAACATCTACACGATCAGCGTTTCAAGAATCGATTGGCGCCTTTTGAGCATCACCACTTTTTCTCGAATACTACCATTTCTAGAGCCCATTGAGGTATCTTAGGGTTAGGAGCTCCTTGAAGTGTAGAGATGAATATATTTGATCATCGTGGTGGTTTCTGATTTATTGATCTGTCGTACATGATCTGGTGATGTTTAACCATAATTTTTATTTTCCTATTTTCGTAGCCTGCAATTTGAATTTCCCGAATCAGATGTGGAGCACACATGCTTGTGTTGCCTTCGTAAGCGTTTTTGGCCAACGTGAGAAAGTTTAAATAACGAGCAAAATTCCTCTCCCAAGATCCAAGTATCTCGTTTATCACTGATTAGTAAGCTCGGTAGCACCGGAAATCACGTGTACCTTGGAGCTAAAGTTTTGAAAAAATCAGAAACTTCATAAAGTACCTTGTCAGTGCCGTCTAAAACGGATGCACTGCAATAATTTACAGGATGAATTTTCATTCGGAGATGTCTCGATACTTGTTACACATGATCACATCCTCTCATCGCAGTGCAGACATCCAGAAACAGCAACCGGATCTCATGAATACTGTCAGGTTTCTTTTTTGCTCGGCCTCTTTTCCGATACCTAAAATGCCTGAACTGGAATTCGGCGAAAATCCAGAAATGCATGAAGTCATTTTATCAACAATATTAAAAGTCTCGTAAAAAGTTTTAAAAAATGCAATGGCCGCTTCCGCTTTAATGCTTTATTTTTAGGTATGCGAATATGGCAGAAGTCTGGAGCTACCCCAGCTACCAGAAATGGTATTTCCAAATAATTCGGTGATTATAGCTTGCCAAGACCAGCCACAGTTAAGAATTGGTTTCAATGCTCTTGACGCGCTGAAACTCGTCAATGTCGTTTCCTTTCCTGATTTAGAAGTAAGTTGACCTTTTTCATCGTTGCTTGCAACAAAACAAACATTCCTTATCTCATACACCTTTTATTTAGGTTTTTCTAGCTTTTTGCTTGCTGCTGGATGCACCCGTTCGGAAACTAGTTATAGTTCTTTCGTTCAATTAGAGAAAAATTGTCCCGCTAGTTTTTGGAAAAATTTGTTTTCTAGTTTTATACTTTAAAAAAAACACAGCAAATGAGAAAGTGCACTTTCCTTGGATGCTTTAAACACAAGAAATAACTGTGTTATCTGTGGAGTTCCAAATTTTTATCGGTAGTTTTTGTAGTATTTTGTTCTGAAAAAAAATTTTTTTTTGATTCGTAAATATCTGTTGTTAAATGTATTCATGTCTTTTTTTTCAAAGGTAGGGCCAAGTAAGAAGTGGCGAGAGTCAAGAAATATGAGTCAGCTGGAGCGGAGTGGTCGGCCATTTGACTGGACATACACAAGTAATTACAAAGGAACTGTTAGTGGATTCAAAGTTAGTATTTGTATAGCGCTGATTATGGTGCTGTTTTTAGAATCTTGGATTAAAAGCTAAACTGACACTACGTTATTGTACCATTCAGAGAGTTCCACTTTTCACTCTCTGCCTGGCACGCAGTCTAAAATGAACAGTTTTGCGAATATACTTGGTATGCGTTAATTTATTGTTTGTTTTGCAGGTTGTGCCAACAAGTGACAGGATTTCAGTAGAAAAACTTAAGCGTCGCGACCCAATCAATTTTTATTCGGAACTGATCTTGTATGAAGACGAATTAGCTGACCATGGATGTTCCGAGGCGCGTTTCAGCTACTAATAGCCTGAACTACTGTAGCATGGTGAAGCCTGTATTACAGTTATTTTCAGATGAGTGTACGCTTACGAGTTATGCCGACATGTTTATTTCTTCTCTGTCGTTTTTATCTTCGCGTGGATGATGTGTTAGTTCGTATCTGTGATACAAGGCTGTATAAGGAAATTGAGTCAAACAGCACCCTACTGAGGCAGTGGACACGACGTGAAATGAAGCTTGCTGACTCTCCACATGTGGTATCAATTTTAAAAATTTTTTCCCGCTGAACCTGGAGACTAGATGTAAAACTAGTGCTGTTTTGATTGTATGAAGAGAAATCTCAATTTTTCTTCATTTTTCTTTCCATTATTATAACACAGTTACTCGTGATATTGAGATGATGTGACTGGGCGCCATGTGGTGCAGCAGTTCGCTTTTGGCTACTGTAATGACTAGAATTTTCAGGTGCGAAGTAATGCGTACAGTCCAAGTGCCGTTTACGATCATCTGCCAACAGTTGAAGAAGAAATCACCAAACTTGTTCGCCCAGAACTCATTACTTTGGATTCATAGCTTTCGTATGATCTACTGAAATAAACATTTTCATTGACTGGAATTATGTGGATTTATATTTATGCTGCGTTTTTTAAAGGCAAAAAGTATACTGTCGCTGATAGCTAAGTGAGGCTATCAAAACGAAAACTTAAATCATGCGACCAACGTGGACCCAACAGTGTTGCTCAAATACTACCAAACGTCAATCGTATTTGTGGAGGGTCGTTGTGCCTTGGTCAGCGTGTCGCCATTTTTGACTCAGTCGGTCATCTGAATCGCCTTCATCTCGCTGTGAATTTTGCAAATTTTCGTTGTCTTTACCGTGGGTGCAACTCATTTCGGATTGTGTCATCAGATAACTTTTTATTTAAAGAACAAGACGACATATATCGTTCCACGGATTGGACACGACGTTTCATTTTCTTTATGATCGCGAAGAAATTAGCATCTTTTGTTTTACCGCTTTACCCTCAAAGCTAACATTCTGCCTTCCGTTTTGGCTTCGTGATTCCACTTCACTTCTGAACTGCGGTACTGTCAGTTAGTTATGAAAAAATCGTTTGATATGGTTTGGTTTGGTACTGTGTTTTAAGTACGGCCTTTCCGATTTGATGTTCTCTCAATTTATACTGCTACAGAATTTCTGCCAACTGGAATTTTGGTATACGTCATTCAGTGGGAATTGTGGTGTACAGTCATTTCTTGGCTCGGTTTGGGATCTCCTGACTTTGCAGTTCTCGAGCGAAGGATCTTTTATCCCCGCCCTCTCTTTCCTCTTTCTGGATTCGCTTTTGTATCGAAATGCTCAAGAACTGAAAAGGCACCAGTGCTGAAAAGCCCGGGTCTGCTCAAAATAAGACTAAAGTAACTCTTAGTAGCAGTGTTAGAACTCTATTCCTAGTTTTTCCATAGTTCTTTTCACATTTTGTCATGAAGGGGCATTACATAAGCTGCACTGGAAAGCCAATTTGAGCATGAATGACGAATAATTTAACAACGTATTAGTACAGATCATTAACAGTGTTCGTGAAGTGGACGAGATGTTGCAAAGACTCAACTTACAGGATCTACTATTGTGCATGGTAGGGATTAGGAGATAGTGTTTTAGAATATATGTTATAAACAATGTGACGTATTTATCTATCATGTCCTGAGAATATGTTTGAATATTTGTCTGTGTTTCATCCCTTAGCTGTAAACACAGACAACTGAAGGAGTGGTTAAGGGTGGGAGTCACCAGTACAGCCTCCTAACCACCATGTGAAATAGTAAATGTGCCCACGTGAAAAGAAAGAAGGAAGTGGAGAGAAGGGAAAGAACGCTAAAAAAAATCAAGTAAAACGTCAAACTAACATGAAGAACATGGTTGTCGAATTTGGTTCGTTTGGCTGCCGGCTCAGTTTGTGTTAACATTCTGAAGATCCTAAAACTCAGACAACAAAGTGTTAAAATCCAAGTGGAGTCGACACTACAACGTCGAGCCATCGTTACTGAGTAGCATAGCACGAACGTGCATAACACCATGATCATCGCAATACAAATATTTATTGAATATAATTCTGAATCTATAAGTGAACCTGTTAACCGCGTCCCTCAAGTTATTGACGTCCAAGCTGTTATGTAAGTAATGCTTAATTAATAGCTGAGACCACTAAATGAACTAATCCAATGAAGTACAAATATGAGCGCAATGCAGCAATTGAGACATAAGAATACCCATGTGCGCTGTCAGGTGAACGTTACTGTTGGGACTACTATAATGATTAACAGTGAAAGGGAAGTCAAGAGATCTGTTGTAAACATCGAAAACACATCTGTTATCATGACAAAAAATATCATGGTCAAGGAAACAAGCGCGTTGACTACAGTACGTTGTTTTAAGATCGAGAGTGTGATCGTAAATATCCCTTACAGTGCTAGGAAAAGTGAGGTTGTTAATAACAAGTATATCGTCAGTGTATCAAAATAGTTCCAATCGAACTCTTTTATGCTTGTACAGGTAGCGGTATTCCATAACAGAAAATGTTAAGTCAGCAATATCGGGGCTGGCACTTTTCATTGTTACACCTCGACTCTGATTAAAAATAACTTCATTGAAGCGAACATATGTTTGCTAATAACAGTGAAAACCATGGTTTTAATTTCGTTTACGGTATAGTAAATACTATTAGTCGGGGGACTGTTGGTGAACCAACAGGTGGATCAGCTGGGGACCAGGAAATTCCTTTCTGTATTCGAGAAGCACAAATCAATTAAATATGTGAAATAGTCCAGAATTTCGCGATGAGGTAGGCATGTGAAGAGATTAGTAAAATCAGCAGTATACAAATAGTTAACGTCTCCAAAAAGCACACTTAGTTTGGTAACTAGTTCCGTAGAACTGCGAATACTAAAATAGACCTGTTTACCCGTAGAGTCATAGATTCTATTACAGTAATTCCGAAAACGACACCTGAGATGATTCAGAACACGATGAATAGTTATTACGAGAGGTCGAAGTAAAGATTCACATGCATCAGCAGTGAAGCGGTACTCGTAAGGTTTTTTGTGCAGTTTAGGGATGGCATAAAGCACAGGAATGCGTTCACCATTACCAGTAATATGCAGTTGGAATATGTGAAGAAGAATCCGGTGCTTGCTAATAAGTCGTGTAGAATCAATATCAACTGGAGTGTAAAATCATTTCCTTGAATGATACCGGCTGAATCAAATCCTAATTCCGTGCAAAGCAGCTGAGCATAATATTTCTTGCAAATAATAATGTAGTTACTAGAGGTTTTGTCAACAGGTGTAATAACATATTGTTCCCGAAGAGAACGTAGAGTACGGAAGAAATTGAGAGAGCGGGCAGGGGCATTAGCACAGCACCGACAACCTTGATTCCTAACGATAGGAATAAACCTAATTCTATAGCGTTTTTGCGATTTGTGCCAGCCTAAGAATAAGCCTGTCTGAAGCACCACTAACATCTCCAATAACATCCTCAACTCTGTGCGGAATAGGAATTCGATAGTTAACACCATTAGATATAATGCTACGAAGTATGTCGTCTCGCACAATGCCTAAGTCGCCGGTCACAACATGTCCAGCAGTACCACAGATGAACGGAGAGAAGGAACATCGGCAAGCGGTGGTTAGTACCACTTTAAGTTCTGAGGGTTGCTCATTCAGACCACTGAGGAATCGGTTATAGTTCATTATTATACGTATACCAACAGACAAGTCGTATCGAAAAACTACCGCAATGTGTGGTACTGGATGTATCGGGAGAACTCATCTAGCTAATGTGTCGCGAAAAACTGACCGAAGACAGAAGGGATCATACATACGGCCAGGATATGGCAAAACGAAGTGTATATTATCAGACCGTGTGTCCGGTGATTTATCTGGTTTAAGTCGATAATGAAGGAAATTTTGAAGGTGACACAGTTACTAACGAACGGAAGGTCGCTGGAGATCACGCGATTACGCAGAGCAAGCAATGTTTGCTTGTTGGCACGAATAAGCCTACTAAAAAATTCCGAAATATCATGCGGAGTACGTATAGAATAGAAAACAGACCACTGAACTAAGGTCATGTCGAAATGTTGAGGCCTACGCTTGCGCAACCCGTGGCTTCGAATCTTACGTGGCAGTGAAAGCTGAAAATACGGACTTCTACCAACTGCAAACGGTAAAAGACCCTCTGAAACTGTACCGCAATTTCCAGTGCTATCATTGAGACCATAGGGATAAGCAGCATTAATCAGCTTTACCAGAATAACTCGGGATCATGCAGCGAAGCAATGGCAAGGTTAACTGTTTCTATTATTTCAATACCAAGAAATTCAGGGCCATGGTCAGTTTGACAAAAATGTCGATACAAAATATCATTACTCTTTTAAATAACACCCAAATGGTGCTCTCTAACACATTCTTGGAGATTCCTGGAGGTTTGACCAATGAAATGAATGCGGAAGATCTTACACGCAATCATATACACGATGCCTTTAATCTTACAGTTGAGTGGTACGTTCGGGTTACAGACGGAAATGAAGGTACAGCCATTGATGGTGGCGTATACCAAGCCATCAGAGTGGACCATACGGCAACACAGAAAATTCGTGCCGCAGGGAAGTGTAGGGCAACTACGAGTAACATTTTCGGATGTACGGAGTCGTCTCAATTCCGAATGTTCATCAATACAAAAAATGTTCTTAAAAGAGTGACTATCCCTGACAGAGACCAAAGCACCTCGGGATAGTCGTAAAGATGCAGTGGCCGAGGTACTATTAGAATTATTTGCTGACCGAAACTGTAAGAAGGCGCTAAGCCAAGGGCGCAATCCCGTTAAGAATCGTGTATCTAGGCAGGGGTGCTGCCTATCGGGCTACGACTGATGCCCAAAACACTCCACCAAAGCCAGGCGGCGGCAATGGTCTAGGTTCGTCAGTCTTTCAACCAGTAACCAGTGGTGGAGCTCCGAAAGCCGTAAGAGGCCGCGAGTGTGGAACCTCTCTAAGGCAGAGTTGCCTAATCTAAATATGAAAAAGACGGGTGGCAGGACTGCATAAGTTGGGCTATCGAGCTTGTCAAGACCCGTCCAAGAGAGAATGTTATTAAAAGTCTTTGCAAATTGTAGAAGCATCTAAAGGTAAGATGTAAAAAAGGATAGATGGAACAAAATTGGAGGAAGCGGCAGGGGAAAAGGGTGGAAAAAGGGGCACCTCTGTGACGGGGGACTAGTAAAAAAATAACTTGCGTGTGCTCTAATTAAGAGGATAAACAGCAAGTTTGAAATATGCGACAGCACGGTTTTGAAAATTTTATGAAACCCAGGCTGGAACGCACCAGGCGGGCCGGAGCGATTATGCACTTTCGCGCTTTTCGTGCCGTAGTAAGATCGCAAGGAATCAAAGTAGCTAACCCTGTGAAATACTGGCCCTCGGAGTTCGGGAAGTTAATTGTGCAACTATGTGATATGTCAGTTCTAGGTGTCGACTTCAGTGACCCGACAAATGGAAAGTTGTTGGTCCGCA